CTTGTGTAACATTGATTTTGGTCCTCAATGATTCCTTGCTTTGCAGTGTGGAATCCTTCCCCTCTGGCTGCTGTTCTGGGCAATCAGAGCAGAGAAGCATATGCTGGAAGAGTAGATGAACTTGGTGTGTGCCCTCCAGGTCTCGCTCCTCGGGAGGCCCTGTCATTGCCCTCATGATGCCACCGTATTCTAGCTGTGATATTTCAATCTCAGATCTGGAAAAGGCATGCTTCCACATTCTCTGGATTATCCAGCATCCCTTCCCCATGTTGGAGCACTGCAGTTCCAAAAGAGTCAAGAGTTAGGCTCACTTCCCACCGTGTATGATCTCTACATAAATAGCTGATATTTATTGAAAACTATGATGTGCTTGGCAGTAGGCTAAGCTCATTATATGAATGATTTTATTTACTCTTCACAACTAATTAGGCATATATTTTTCTTAACCCTGTTTTACAAATAATGAAATTGATGCAATTCTTGAAGACAAACTCCACAAGGACTTTATCTTATGTTGCTATAATTCCAGGGCCCAGAACAGTGCTTGACATATAAGTGCTCAAGAAATAATTGTTAAGAAGAGCGACATTACCAACATGGCAGAATAAGAGTTTTCTACCATTTTACCCCCAAAGAATACCAATTTAGACGATCACTCCTAGGCAAGAGTGCCATTATGGAAGTCTGGGAATCAAGGAGAGAAGTTCCATCATATCATTGGAGCAAAAAAAAAAAAAAAAAAATCCTAGATTGGATGCATTAATAAGGATTAAAGAGGGTAAAAGGAACAGTTTCACTTTACCCATATCACTTCTCCCCCAAGATGGCACAGCTCAGTGCCAAGAGAGACCTTCTTGACCCATGATTTCTCCCATGAAGGAAAGTGAGAGTGTGTGAGTGATCACACAGCTTTCCCAGATGTGCGGGTTGCTGCCAAAGAGACTCAGTTCTTTCTCACCCTGTCCAGAATACTGACTGCATGACCCGGGAGAGGGAAGTAGCTGGGAGAACAGCAGCTAGAGCTCTTGGAAGGCATCAAAGGGACATGGATCCTACTAACAGAGTTGCAGACTCCATCAGGAAGTCCACCAATAAACCACTGTGAATGTCTCACCAATGGATCCTCCCAAGTGGTCTGCAGGCACCCCCAATGCTCTGTGACCTCACCCACACACACACCCCACCCTGTGACCAGCTCCCTGAATATCATGTCCCCTATGGCAGCAAGAGCAATGCTTTCAGACAGCTAGTGAGCACACAGAGAAAGCCAGCCCAGCTCTCCAGAATTGTGAGAAAGCACACAAATTTGAGCATTCAGCACAGTCCTGGGAAAGCAAATGGGAGGCTGTTGGCACCAAGTCTGGCTTTGAAGGATCGAGAGAAGGCATACAATCTTAGGAACTCTCCCTCAAGAGGGAACAAGAAGTATGGAGCAGGAGTATCAATAGAAAAGGTCTAAGAAAGCCTCAGAATCCCTCACACAGATGAAGGTATTTCTCCACTGAAGCCAGTCAGTAAAGACTGGAGGAGTGACTCTTCTTCAAAAGTGAAGGCAGCAATGCAGAACTTCAATGAATATGAAAAATCAAGGAAATAGGATACCACCAAAAAAACGCAATAATTTTCTAGTAACAAACTTCAAAGAACTAGAGATCTGAGATTTTCCCAATAAAAAACACAAAATAGTCATTTTAACGAAGCTCAGTGAACTACAATAAGACACAGAAAGACAATTCAATGAAATCAGGAAAATGATAATAAAATAAGAGGTTTAACAGAGACATAGAAATCAGTACAAATAACAAACAGAAATTCTCGAGCTAAAGCATACACTGATGAAATGAAAAATGCAATAGAGAGCATCAATAGCAGACTGGATGGAGTAGAATAGAAAAAGAGAGTCCGTGAGGTAGAAGACGCATCTTCCGAAATTATCTAGCAAGAGGGGAAACAAAGAAAAAGGAATGAAAGGAATTGAAGAAAGCCTACATGAATGATGGACTACTACTAAAAGCAACAATCACGCATTATTGAAGTCCCAGAAGGAGAAGAGAAGGAGAAAGGGGCAACAAACCTATTTAAAGAAATAATGGCAGTGAACTTCCCAGAACTGGGAAAAGATCTGGACATCCAAGTTCAGGATGCTCATAGGTCTCCAAACAATTTCAATCCAAAAAGATCTTCTCCAAGACACATTATAATGAAACTGTTTAAAATCAAATACAAAGAGAGAATTTCAAAAGAAGCAAGAGAAAAAATCAATTCCTCACATACAAGGGAATCACCATAAGGCTATCGGGGGATTTCTCAGCAGAAACCTCACAGGTCAGGAGACAGTAGGATGATACGTTCAAGGGCCTGAAAGAAAAAAATACCAACCAAGAATGTTTTACCTGGCAAAGCTGTCCTTCAGAAATGAAGGATATATATCAGCTATGCTCATGCTGACCTTTTCTAGGCAGGTCCAAGCTAGTGGTCTACTTGGTAGCATAGCGTCAGGGACAATGCACAAGACTGGGAAGGACACAGACCTGAGTTCTGGTCCCAATTCTACAGGTAAGTGTCATTAGACAAGTCACTTAACCTTTCTCAGCTTCAATTTCCTCAGCTGTAAAAAGAAAATAATAGTATCTACTTTTTAGTGTGTTGGCAGTTATTGTATAATAATACTTAACCTCCCCATACCTAAAAGGAAATAGTAATTTCAACTTCATAAGGTTGATGTGAAAGTTAAGGGAGACTGTAAACTGTGAAATCACTCTCCAAACTAAAAAGGACCATGGAAATGTAAGTCAACGGCAAAAGCAATTATCCTCACAAACAGAAAGATTGAGGGGGGGAAACAGATTTTCCAACATTACCCTAGTCACTGCTTCCACGACCACTTGTCAGAGAAGCCTCAGTCTATCTGCCCTTTGTCTGCAGCATACAGCTCACTGAGCCTCAGCGCCACTAGCCAAAGCTCAGGCCAAGAATGTACATCAGGAAATTTCAGGCATAGCCTTAACAAGGATATCTGCAGGAGTTAGGAGTAAAACCTGACATCACAGCCCACTGCTAGCATGCTACCTAAAAGCCCAGCCATATTTCCCAATCTTTGCTGAAATAACTATACCCATGTCGTCTGCTTTCCATTCAAGCCCTACCACCTAGGGATATGATTCAGGTGGGCCTGACCTAATCACACAAGCCCTTCAAAAGCAGAGAGTTTTCTCCAGTTGATCACAGAGGCAGCAGTCAGAGAGACAAAAATAAAGATTCAATGCACCAATGCTAGCTTGCACATTGAGGGGGCCACACGTCATGGAAGATAAGGGCCTCCAGCTGCTAAGAGTAGACTTTCCCTAACAACCAGCAAGGACAAGAGGACCCCAGCCTTACGATCTCACGGAACTGAATTCTGCCAACAAAAATGAACTTGGAAGTGATTCTTCTCAAAGCCTACAGATGTGAACTCGGCCCAGCTGACACTGTGATGCTGGCCCAGAAGACTTGAGCAGAGCCCCCAACCACGCTATGCGAGACATCTGACCCACAGAGCTGTGAGCTCATAAAGGGGTGCTGTTCTAAGTTGCTGAGTTTGTGCTAATTTGTTGTATATTCGTAGAAAACTAATGCAAATATATTCACATAAAATAGTTCATAGATGTTATCATTAAAAGTGTAAGAAAATTGGCAAATGTTTATGATATAACATTTGGGGGTTTTGGGGGGGTTAGAATTTTTTTCTTTTTTGAGGGGAAGATTCACCCTAAGCTAACATCCGTTGCCAATCTTCCACCTTCTTTCTTCCTTTTCTCCCCCTAAAGCCCCAGCATAGTTACTAAAAGACAAGTGGTGTGGTTCCACGCCGGGGTAGGCAACCCGAGCCGCCAAAGCAGAACACACCAAACTTTAACCACTAGGCCATCAGGGCTGGCTTTGGTTTTTTTTAAAAGGAAATAAAACTAAATACACAATATAATCACAATTTTGTTTACTATCTATGCATAGAAGAAAGACTGCATGAAAATACATTAAAATGGCATTAGAGGTAATATCTGGTGAAAGGATTAAGTATTTTAAATTTCTCCCTTATACTTTTCTGATCCAATTTTTCCAAAATGAGGGTATATTGCTTTAATAAGCAGAAATAAAATCAGCAATTCTTCAGCAACTGCCAAGAACAAAGCATCTGGTTTGGAGGGGCTGCTAATGTATTTCAGCTAGTTTATCAACAAGATGCAAAAGAACACTTAGACGGTATCTTTTGACTAATGTTATAAGTTAAGCTCTGTTGTGGAATAAAAATACATAAACACAAGTCAAACACAATGGAACTGTGTGCCTCTGACCACTTCAGGGCCAGTCCCAGATGTGACATTAATTGTGAAGCCTGCGCCTGCCCAATTTGGCAGCTGAGCAGCCCGGTCTCAGATGCTGTGAATGAACTTTGGAAATGCTGCAATATTAGCCTTCACTGCTAATCCTGCTAATGCACTCACAATCTATTTGACAGGCTGCCCATCACATCCCCTCTGTCAGGGTGAGCAGCCTTCGGAGGTGGCTGTGACAAGGGGATTACTGAAAGGACGTCCGGAAGGAGAGGCTGGCCCTCCCTGCCTTGCGTTCTGACTAGCTTTGTAGATAGGCCACATACCACAGAGGCCACTGGACAGAAGCTTGTCTTCAATACGGACCCCCTGGCACAGAGGTACCAGAGGGAGACGTTCACCAACCCAGAGGGATGAGTGCTTTCTGACAGCTGTGTCATTCCTCCAGTCTCATCATGGAGAAGGTAAACAAGGCAAGTTGAAGGGAAAATTCACAAGGCTGAGGTTTCTGGATGGTTTCTTAATAGCAGAGCTCCCCTCCTCTTTAGAAGGCCTACATGCTGTAGAAAACTGGAAACAGCTCCAGCCTCTTGGGATGAGTCATAGCACACCCCTTCCCCTCCTTTCCCTCTGGCTACCAGCCTCCTCAGTGAGTGGTTGACACTCCATAAAAGCTACATTTACAGCTTGGTCTTCATTAAATTAGCAGGATTGCTTTATTTGCCTTCTAAATTTTCAGGGGTTTCATTTTAACTCTGTCATTTTAAACACAAGGTAGCATGGAAATAAAAGGTACAGCCTTCATGCTAGTGGATTATAATTATTTGCAAAAGCAATACAGGATTTGTTCCAGAGCAAGGCTGCTGCTCCCTTTGAGCCAGGCCCCATCACTCCAGCTGGAGCCAGGGGACAGGCAGCAGGAGACAGTTCCTTCTACTCCAGTTTACCCACAGCGTCCTCATTCACAGCCCAGATGATCAGAAGGAGACTTTTCCAAGAAACACAGTTAGCCAGTTGCCTACTTCTCTCCATTGCCCAGGAAGTCTTCCTCGTACTTATAATCGGGCCAAGGCTTTGCTCTGAGTTCCACCTTAACTAGGAAAATCTCCTCAGGCTCAGGTGCCACAGAAGACACTGGGAATGCTGAGACCAGCAGAACTGGCCGGTGTCCTCAAGGAGCCTGCAATCTGTAAGTAAAGAGACAATTGGGATACAGTGTCAGAAGTGTTATGATTGAGATTTCTGTAGAAGCACATGGGACAGACCCCTGGAGCAGACAGTGAAGGTGAGAGAGTCTGAGGCCATATCCCAAAAAGTCTAGTCTGGATGACCTAAGCCACTTTTCTGCCTTCTCCAGCTGGATTTCAGCCACACTGATCATTGGCGCCTTGCCTGCAAGATGAACCTCTAAAGGGCCGTGGAAAGTCTTAGCCATGTCCCATCAGGACAGCCCCCAGGGAGCCATCTGAGGCCTCCCTCTCTACTCTGCTGTCCGCCCTTGACATGCCCAGCTTAGGTGTGCCAACATTATTCAGGCTCACAAGCTTACACTCTAGACGGTGAAATGAACAGAATCACAGAAGAACATCTTACACACCACACTGCTGTCTCAGACAAGCCGCACCCTCTCCTGCTGGGCAGAGGCATGAGAGCACTAATGCATGGCCACACGCACCTGCTCCCCCTTGCCCAGAAGGGGCTCCATCCTGAGACGAGACCTTGACAGGTCACCCCACGGAGCAGAAGGAGAGCATCTGCCTTGTGCCTAGAGGTCGAGGCTAGGACCCCAGCCTTCGTCATTCCTGGGCCTGTGCTCAGCACACCTTGGGAGGCCCAAAGCTTTCTCAGCCCACCTCTCCAGCTGCTCCCTCCTTCCCAGGAAGGGCTAAAGCCCAGCGCTCCTCGTCCTTCTTCTCTTCTGGGCGGGGCCTCCCTTCCATGAATCTCAGCTGCAGGGAGGCCCTAGCACAGTGCAGGGACTTTGGAGACCAAAGAACCCCAATCCCAAGGCCTGGTTCCAAGACATACTTTGTCACCTTGTGCTAACGTATATTCTGAACCACTGTTTCCTCATCTGAAAAATGAGAAGAAAAATATCCATAGATGTCAACCTCTCAGACGGTGCTTTGTATGTGGTAAGGACTCAATAAATGGAAGTTCTACAGAATATCTCCTCCCCCGGGTCTGCGTTCTAAATGTCAGCTCGCACTGAGAAATGAAGGGTTCTCATGAGAAAGTGAGGGACCTAGGCCCCTGGGGAGCAGATGAGGGTTTGTTTGTTTTCAAAAGAAGGAAGACGCTGATAGGCGCCTCTGAAATCACCCTGCCAACAGGAGGGCTTTCTAGTAAGGTGGTTTCTGTTCCTGACCCAGAGGCATGCCTCCTAGACCAGAGCAGAGTGTGCCCCAAGGGCCCCATGAGGCACAAAGCCAGCTGTGCACTCAACTTTCTGACTGCACATTTACCTGGGGGTTTTCTGGGCACCTCGAAGAACCTGGTGCCAGCCAAGCAGGCCAAGGATGATCAGCCTATCGTGACAAACAATGAAAGCAACAGGCTGGGAAGGGCCGAATGGATTTCACCCAGCTTCTTCAGAGGCTACGCTAACACATCCTCACCGATACTCATGCTCCATGCCCTCCTGGCTCGTTCCTATAGTGCTGCTCAGAGTGATTTATATGGCAAGGAAATAAACCAATATTAGACACATAAAGAAAACTCTAAACATTGCTTCATATTTTTTCTGCCAGTCAAAAATGCGCTTTGCAGCCAATTGTGAAATGGCCTTAATATCCCCAGCTAAAGCTTATGTAATACCTAGCTTTGGCTCACTCCCTAATTTCAGATTCTGAAGATTATGAATGGAAGATAAAATCTGCAGGGATTCTGTGTTTGTTCTTTGCCACAACTAAGAACCAGCCCATAGATGAAAGGAGACATCCTGCCACCATGGGGGTGGCAGCAGGACCTCTTGTCTCCTACAGATGGCCTTATGCAGGAACTTCCATCTTAACTCAGCAATATGGTTGGTGTGGTCTAACTACTACTGGGCCCTCTTCCTCTGAAATTGGAAATGAGTTTGCCTTCATTGTTTCTCTAGAAATAAATATTTACCATTCAAACCTTTGTGCTCATTATTTCAACATTTGTGTTTCAGTAATTGTTCTTACTTTGAGAGCAGCTGGTTTACTTATTGTGCTTCTGGGACAAGTCAGAATGCCCACATGCTTCAGCATATTTCCTAAAAGTGAGACACAATCAGAAGTCATATGTCAGACCAAGAAGTAGAAAAATCTTAACTTGAAAGAGGAAAGATAATCAACAGACATCAACATCAAGATGACACAGATGTTGGAATTATTAACAAGAATTTTAAAGCAGCCATCATAAAAATACTTCAATGAGCAATTACAAACCCCGGAAACAACTGAAAAGTAGAAAGTCGCAGCAAAGAAACAGAATATATATATTTTAAAAACCATATGGAAGCTTTAGAATTTAAAAAATAGGATCACTGAAATTTTTAAAAGTCTCAACAGCAGAATGAAGGGGACATAGGAAAGCATTAGTCAACTGGAAGATAGAACAATAGAAATCACCCAAACTGAACAACAAAGAGAAAATAGACTGAAAAAAGTGAACAGAACCTAAACACCTGTAGGACTATAAGAAAAGTTGTAATATTTGTGTCACTGGAGTCCAAGAAATAGAGGAGAAAGACAGTGGAGCTGAAAAAAGTATTTGGAGAAATTATAGCTGAACATTTTTCAAATATACAAAAGAAATAATGGCTTAAATTTTTTCAAATATGGAAAAAGACACAAACCTATAGATTTAAAAATCTGAGGAAACCCCAAAATGGATAAACCCAAAGAAATCCATACAAAGAACCATCTTAATCAAACTTCTGAAAATTAAAGACAAAGAAAACATCTTGAAGGCAGCAAAAGAGAAATGACACCTTACATATAGGAGAAAAACAATTCAAATGACAGTAGATTTCTCATCAGAAACCATGGAAGCTAGAATGCAGTAGCACATTTTTCAAGTGCTGAAAATAAAGAACTGTCAACCCAGAATTCTGTACCAGGTGAAATTAGCCTCCAGGAATGAAGGAAAAATAAAGACTTTCTTAGATGAAGGAAAACGAAGAGAATTTTTCATCAGCTACCCATTTTAGACCTACCCTAAAATAATGGCTAAAAAAAGTTCTCAAAACAGAAAGGAAATGATAACAAAGAAACTTGGGACAGCAGGAAGAAAGAAAGAACGATGGAAAAAGCAAAACCGTGGCTAAATACAATAGACTTTCCATCTCCTCTTGAGTTGTCCAAATTACCCTTGATGGTCGAAGCAAAAAGTATAGCGTTGTCTGACTTGGATCTCAATGTATGTAGAGGAAATATTTAAGACTATTATGTCATAAACAGAGAGGATAAAAGAGCTTAAATGGAGGTATCTTCGTCAGTTCAGACTGCTATACCACAATACCATAGGCTCGTTGGCTTAAACAACACACATTTACTTCTCACAGTTCTGGAAGCTGGAAGTCCAAGATCAAGGTGTCAGCAGATCCAGCACCTCGTGACGCTTGTCTTCCTGGTTTGTAGAAGGCAGTCTACTTGCTGGTCCTCACATGATGGAGAACAGAGAGAGGAAGCAAGTTCTCTCATAATTCTTTTTGTAAGGGCACCAGTGCCACTCATGAGGGCTCCACCTCCATCACCTAACTACCTCTCAAAGGCTCCATTTCCTACTACCATCACATCGGGGGTTAGGATTTCAACATAGGCATTGCAGGGGGGGACACAAACATTCAGTCCATAAAAGGAGACAAGATTTTGATGTTCTCTCAAACTGGAAAAACACTGACACCAGCAGATCTTTGCAGTGATGATACAGTTCTGTATCTTCATTGTAATCGCGGCTACAGGAATCTATTCTTATTGCTATTTTCATGAAAAAATAGCGTAAAACTACACACACATTGTACCAATATCAATATTCTGATTATGACACTGTATTATCATTATGCAAGATGCAACTATTGGGAAAAACTGAGTGAAAGGTACATGGAACCTCTCTCTGTATGATCTTTGCAATTTCCTGTAAATCTATAATTACTTCAAAATAAAGTTTTTGTAAAAAACAAGAACTGTTTTAGATTAAAAGACCCTAAAGAAGCAAATGAAATGTGAAAATCTAATTTGACTGGATTCTGATTTTTAAAAATTCAAAAGGTTGGAAAATTTGGGGAAATTTGAATATTGATGGCAGATTCGATGATATTAGATGAGATAAAGTTATTGTCAATTTGCTTTGGTGTGATAATAATGGTGTGGTTATGTAGAATAATGTCTTTATTCCCAACAGATGTGTGTTGAAGTATTTAGGGATGAAATATAATGAAGTCTGGAACTAAACGTCAAAGGGTTCAAGGAGAAAAGTAGAGAGAAACAAATATTACAAAACGTTGTCCACTGATGACTCAATTGATGAGAAAGATATGAGGGTGTTCCTTCTACTAGTCTTTCAGTTATCCTGTACGTTAGTAAATTTTCATTTTAAAAAGTTGGAAGGATGGATTAATGGATAGATATGTGATAAAGCAAGTACAGTAAAACACTAATCATGGAATCTAAATGGGTAATTGGTGATGATGGTGAAAAGCCAAATGAATTTGGGATTATACACATATTTGGGGAATATATTTATATTTTGGGAATATATATGTATTATGTATATGACTGATAGAACTACCACAAAAAAACAATTCTCCCATCATAGTGGGAGTTTTTAACATACTAAAGTCCCAAGTTAAGAACAAATTGAAAAATTAAAAACAATATAGAAGATATGAATCTTATAATTAAAAAGATGAATCTTTTGATACACGGATCTTGTAACAGTTAACAAGAACTCTTCGAGCTGCTGCACCCACCCTAGAGTGTTTCTGCTCAAATATTTCGTGTTGGCAGATCTCTCCAATGACCAGGCCATCGAGACTGTTCCTGAGAGCTACAGCACCATGCCTGCTCTGGTTCTTGGCCTGATGCTGACCCACAGAAGGAGCTATGCATGGTGTGAGATACTGAAGATACTCTGGACTCTGATGCACAGCTTTTGGCTCAGAGTAATATGAAAGGGACCAATCTCCCAAGTAAATCTCATTATTTAAGGCAAGGCTCCATTTCTCTGGAAGCTTGTTTTCCCTCTCTGGTCCTTTGAAAGGAAAAGGATCTAGCCATTCCTGCCCCATCTCCTCAAGCTTTCTTCCACATCCCCAGTAAAATTTCTCATCCCGTGGCACCATCTACCTACAGGCTCCAAGTGGAACCCACTCCTGCAAATGACAAAGAGCAATCCATTCCTGCCCTTGTCATGACAAAACTCCTTATCTTATCTCACTAGCAAGAGAGCTCAATCAAACCAAACACTGAAAGTAAATTAATTATGCTTTATATCTCCCCAGAGATGGCGGAGCTGCTAAGAGCCAGCTCAGTGTTTGGAAAAGAGAAACAAAACTTTCAACCCATTCATCCATCTACCCCACTTTTCTGGGTTAGTCCTTCCACAGTCTCATTGCTGGAGCTGGAACTAGCATTGGCCAGGAAAAACAGCGAAAAATGGCAGCAGATAGCCAGGGCTCTGGTGGCCGAGTGAGAAGAACATTCCTGCAGATGTGTCCATGAAATAGCATTGTGTGACCAGTTTTCTTTAGACCAGGACGTCCTAGCACAGGTCAAAGAAAGGACATCTCTGAAGGAGATTATAGTAGGGCGCCTTTCACTCTGCAGGCTAGTGTTTGCAGAGTGGAAGACCCTCTACAACCTATGCAGTCACACTTGCCACAGACATAGGCCCCTGCCCCTGCCCCAACCCTGCCCCAGGTTGTTTTTTTTTCTCCCTAGGCATACACCACAAAGCAGTGGTGAGTAGGGCACTTACATTCTGTCACCCGACTTCCTCTCTCAACCACACATAATAATCTTTGAACTGATTAATCCATTGGTCTCCATGGAGTTAAAAAGCTTCTCTCATGTTTTCCAGGAGGCTTCAAGAAGACCACCATGGGGCTAGCCTGGTGGCCAAGTGGTCAAGTTCGGGGCTCTGCTTCGGTGGCCCAGGGCTTTGCCGTCAGTTCGGATTCTAGGCTTGGACCTAGCACCACTCATCAAGCCATGTTGAGGCGCATCCCACATAACAGAACTAGAAGGACCTACAGCTAGAATATACAACTATGTACTGGGGGGCTTTGGGGAGAAGAAGAAAAAAAAAGAAGCTTGGCAACAGATGTTAGCTCAGAACCAATCTTAAAAAAAATCAAAAAAAGAAAAAGACCACCAGTGCAAGTGACGTCCTTCTTCCACCCCATTTCAAGATCCCTGGGTTATGATAAAGTGAACATGGGGGAAGATTCTCCTAGGAATAACACAGCTTGGGAGGCAGGCTACTTCAGGATGCTCAGAGAAGCATGACTAGTAATACTCTTACCCTGTGCTTCATAAAGAGCAGTTATTCTAGAAAACATGAGGGTCCAGTTTTTGGTTCAAGTAGTAAACAAATGACTGAGAAAATATGGATGACTTTGACCTCTACATCAACTGAACGAGGTAAGTGGGCAAAATATTATCCCCACAGTAGGAAGAAAACTGAGGCTCAGAGAAGTGCGGGACTTTCCCAAAGTTTCTAAGTAGCAGGAAAAGCTAGAAATGGGTCTGCTGGCCTCTTGCCACAAAGGAAACACAGCTTCTAATTCTTCCTCTGCCACTGACATAAGGTTTGACCTCTACCTAACATTCACGCCAGCAGTGGATTTTTCATCTGAAACATGCAAACTGGCCCCAACCATCATTTTGGCACCAGCGGCGGCCCAGAAAGCCGGGCTGAACGGGTAACAAGAGTGACCACGCCTGTGCCTCTAAGAGCCCCGCCAGGCTGGGGCCCAAGACCTCTGCCTCAGAGACCCTGCCCAAAATGACTGAGGCCACACTGGACTTCCTGATCTAGGGCAGGGCCTGGCCACACCACCCCTGCCGGCTGCAATCCCAGGGACCTCCGTCGGACCACGGCTGTGTGGATTCGAGACGCCACAGTGACTCCAAGGGTCTCCAGCCCGCATTAACCCGGAGCTGTCCTCTTCCTCGTCTGCATCTCTAGCGCTTACATACGCCGACTGCCGGACGCGCCCGCCGGGCTAGCGTTACCCTGAGTTTGCAATCCCGGAAAGCGGGACACTGAAAACTTCAGCGATTCCCCGAGCCCGCCGCCGGACCACGCGCTCCAGCACCCGCAGCTCCGGGCAGCGAGTTCCATCTGCGCCTGCGCGCGGAGCTTGCGCAATGGGCGGGGAAGTGGGTGGGTGGGGTAGTGGGTGGGTGGGGTAGGACCCGTGGGCGGGGCTAGTATCCCGGGGCAGCTGATGCCCTGAAACCCCGCCGGCAGGGAGACAGTTCCAAGGCACCAGATTCCGGAGGGGGACGCTGCCGGGCACACTCCCTCAGTCAGGCCTCCTGCCAGCGCTTCGGACCTGCAGATCCTGTCGGTGGGGACGAACTGATTCTTGGCGCCTCTATGGGCAGGATTCGTTGGGGCGGGACCGGGAAATGTGGGAGCCGTGGTGTCACCGCTCCAGGCGAGGCCCATCTGCGATGTCATAGAACTACGTAAATGAGAAACCGCTGTAGACGTCGCGGAGCCCTTGCGCTCTTGCCAAAGGCCTGTGTAACGTCACTGTGTCCGCGGGAGGATGCCGTGACGTCACAGCGCCGTAGTCCTCTGGGAGGTGGGATGGGACGCCTTTGAGCCGGCTCTCCGGACACCGAGATTCCTCAGAGGGAGGGACAGGGGGCGGGTTTGATATAACAGGTAACAGGTCCCACGTTCTTGGAGTTGAGGTGACGTCAGGGAGCCCTAGACCATGCCAATGCGTTTCTCCCTCCTCCTCTCCACGACCTTATGCGAGCCCTGAATCCTGCGGCAGGGACGTCCGCAGGAAAACGTCGCCTCTTGCGCCCAAACCCCTAGCTACGTTCCAGAAGGAGGCGGCGGAGCCTTAACCTCTCTCCTAGGGCGAAGCCCCTGCGGGCTGTCCTTTCCCCGGGGCGCTCCTGATCTCTTCCCAGAGCGAGCACCGGGAAGCTCCAGGCTACGCCGAGAGTCTCTCGCGCCTTCTACCCGTCCTGCAGAGAAGTCCAGCCGGGTAGCTCCCCCACCCCCAACCCTTGCGCACTAACCGCAGGCCGAGCAGCTTTGGGAAGGGCCCCAGCTGAACTCCGGCGCGCCAGCGCCACTGGCCTCTTTCTCTCCCGAAAACCTGCCCCGAGACGGAAGGAGGGGGGATAGGACTTTCTAGGGGTGTAGCGGGGAAAAAGTTGGCCCCTGCAGAGTGTGCAGGCAAGAAAACCCACTCAGCGTTTCTGCCTTGTCATTGCCCTTTTCGTGCGACCAACAAGGCGTATGAGCGAGAAACTTTCCCCAAACGTGTCGCCCGGGAATTGTAGACTGTGTGAGGTCTGGTAGCCTGCGTCCCTGGCCTACCCTCTCACTGGCAGTTGCTATTTTTGCACAATGTTTGAAATCACCAATCACGAGTATAGACCGCAACGAGCTACGCTGAGAAGTGCCTTCTGCGTCCACAGGATGATAGCAGTTGTGGGTAGAGCAAGCCAAGGCAGAGGCATTGTGAGTGGGCTGGAGCTCTCCGGGCAGCACTCTGCCCCACTCCCTACCACTTTCCAGAAACTCTGCGCTGGGAACCCATTCTTCCAAGAATGCACACTGGTATTGAAAGTCTCCAAGTTGAAGGGTTTAGGGGTGGGAGGGCGGGGATTCGTGGTACCAGAGGTGGGGTGGGCCAGAAAGGAAAAACCTCCCCCGCAAATCTCCTCATTTCGAAGCCTATGCGACGTCCTTGAGGCCTGGCTAACCGCAGAGGCACTATGTGTCCTGAGGGAGTGAGAAATGGGAATGTGAGAGAAGAGATGGGCAATCCCTGGGAAAGGTGGAATCCCAGAAAGAGCAAAGGGACTGGGTGGGGCTCTCTCTCTCTGGGGTCCTGAGAGGTGCCCAAAGCTCTCCATAGCGACTGTGTGTGTGTGTGTGTGTGTACTCACGTGCTCTCGTCGTCTTGTAACCACCACATCCCCCAACCTCACCGACTTGGCTCATGCCATCAGCCCTACACAAGCCATGGCCAAGCTCAGACACCACGGCCTGCGCTGTCTGGGACCAAGCCGTCGAAGCCCCAAACCCACTGACTAACCCTCCCTGCGTGCACCTGGAGGTCACATCCTGTTCTCTCCTGGGGCATGTCTTCACGCACCCGGGTGAAAGAGGGATTGGGATCTTGCCTGAGCAGCCAAGATCCTACAGATCGGTCCAAACCTGGCAGCGCCCTGCCCCCCATTCGCAGTGGGCCCTGGAACCAGTCAAGACGGTTCTGAGGGCGAGACCACATATCTACATGAGTGACCCAGAGAGGCTGCAGCCGAGAATGACTGGGGGTTGCAGGCAGGACACGGTGAGGTGCTTGGAGGCCCGGGCCGCCCCTCCAGGTCTGTCCAGCAGGGGGCAGCGCGGCTCCGAAAGCAGAGGGCGGGGCTCATCCGCGCTGGCCCAGCCGAGGCCACGGTGACAAGTTGGGTTCCCGGACTGCAGTGTTCAAGCCCGCACAGGGCCAGGAGGCGTTCCCGGAGGAGGTGGGGGGTGGCGCAGCGAAAGGCTAGAGCATTTTAACTCCTAGAGCCCCAGCCCGCTTTCTCCTGCCTGAGGCTGGGATTTTTGAGTCCCGGTTTCGGGGAAGCTCGGCCCGGCCATCTCCGCGGCCGCCGAGCGCCGGGCACAGAAGCCCGGGCGGCCGCGCTCGGCTTGGGAACGGCCGCGGGTGCCACCGGCTGCGCCGCCCCGCGGTCAGAGCGCGGGAGCTGGGGGAGCCCCGCCCGCCCCAAGCAGGAGAGCCCCCGGCGGCCTGGCCTTTAATTGTGGGAAAACTAGACGCCCCGGGGAAGGTTCAACTTGTGGAGGGAGGACTCAGATTTCTCCTGCTAAACTGCCCGGGCCTCCCAGGGCGCCCGCCCCCGCCATTCCTGACAAGGCTGTAAAACTGTAGGGAATCTTCGCAAGCATGGAGCCGCGCTCCGCCAGGGGACAAGCCCCAGGCCAGAGAACTATGTCTGAGGGATCCTAGCAGAGGAAGGGATGGAGGTTTGGGGCTTTGGGAAGGCAGCGGTGATTACATATTTGCAGCCGGCTATTGGGGGTCAGGCGACAGGGGGACTATAACTAGTCTGAGGCTGTCTGTGAGGGCGCGTCCTTCCCACCCCAAAGCAGAAGCAAGAGGCCAGTAAGGAGTCCTTTGGCTGGGGGAGGTGGGTGACATTCTGTTCCTTTAGTGGACCCTAAGTGACCCCGGCCCCCCCGGAGACGCTGGCATTTCTCACGGCCGATTGACTGGCCTCGGGCTCGGCTTCTCTGTAAGCCCGCAGCCTTTTGGAGGTGAGCAGTGGGGAGACTGAGCCCCTGAGACCAAAGCGGAGGACACAAGGACGAAAATAAACATGGGTGGGGCCCGAAGGCGACTAACACCAAGAAAGACGGGGATTCTCCACCCATCCCAACCCTGGCACCCCCATAAGGCAGAGGTTCAGAGAGTGGGACAGGTTGGAGAAGGGCGCAGAAACCTGCTCCTCTCAAAGAAAGGAGCCGCCCAGTTTCCTGCGTTGGGGAGGGAAATTACCCATCCTGCAATGCCTGTAAAATAACCGTTTATTTAATATTAAAAAAAAACTCCAGTGATAAATGTCCGTTACCGATGGTCAGCATAAAGTGCCAATCGCAATACACCGCCCTGCTCCTCGCCGGCTGCTCGCACGCGGTGACGGGCGGCGGAGCAGGGGAGCCGGAGGCCGGGCCCCTGGATCCCCGGGGCCCCAGAGCTGAGAGCCCCTGGCCGGCAGCGCGGCCAAAGCTGGGAGGGGGCGCTCCCGGGCCCGCGGCCCCAGGGCCGGGCGGCTGAAGCAGATACACGGATTACACTTTTGCAGGCTCCCGAGCGTGGGGAGGGGGCGGGAGGAGGGGTTGGAAGCTGCCAACGCGCAGAAAACTTCTTTTGCTCTCCCCTCTCTCTCCGCAGTCAGAGTTACAAGCTTATATGGTCAAAGAAAAAAAATTAACAAAGAAAATGTATAAAATAACAATAGAAAAAGTAATACTTTTGGGAGAGGCGCCGCTGCGGCTCCGCGGAGTTTTCATTCTTTTTTTAATGCAGTTTCCCTTGCGCCACGTGAGTACCGCCTTTTGGCCAAGAGTTTAGCCGCGTCCTGGGGGAGCCGCCCGGGCGGCCCCGGGTCACGGCCCTGGGCGGGGCTCTGGAGTTCCGCGTGCGCCGGGGACCCAGGGGACACGTGTGGGATGGGGAAAGGTCCCGGGAGCCCCTCCCGCTGCCCGCCAGATTCGCCGTCGGCTTCTGGTCCCTCTGGAGGAGGGGGCGGCATGACCCAGGGTCCTGGCGACCCAGAGGCTCTGTTTAGCATTTGATCTTGGAGGTTTTGAGCTCCTTCACCTGTGAGTGTAGCGTCTTGTGGACAGCGAGAGTCCTGGACTGGCAGAATCCTTTCCCACACTCTTGACACTTGAAAGGCTTCTCTTTGGAGTGAATATATCTGAAAGCAAAAACAGAGAATTAATCCTTAACAGAGTGATGCAATGTTAGAAACAGTTGCCTGAGGTCCCCTCCCACTGCTGTGAGGCGCTTGCCCTCAAAAGAAAGGGGGTTGTGGGGTACCTAGTGTGGGGCGAGAAAGTGCTGAGTTTGTGGCTAGTGCAGAGAGGTGAAGAAGAGGCTTGGCCAACGTCTGATCTGCAAATAGGTCCAGCTGGACCTGCTGCCTGCCTTGCTGAGGAGGGGCCAGCACGGTCTCCTTGTAAGGCCTGGGTGAACGCTAAAGGTGAGGGAGGGGACCTGTGGTGGGACAATGTGCTGGAGCTGCACAGTCCAAGACAGTAGCCTGGTTATTAAACATGTGGTTACTAAAATTAAATAAACCTAAAAAGTTAGTTTCTCAGTCACACTAGTTGTACATTTCAAGCGCTCGATTGTCACGTATAACACTTTCCATGGTCCCAGGAACTTGTATTGGACAGCGCTGTCAATGGAGGAAGGCGTGAGGAAGCTATGCTCGCCTGTCTGGAGCTCATGGAGCCCTGACTTAGTCTTAGGTCGTATTCATCCTCATGTTCTCTCCACCCATGTTCTCAAGAACCTGTCCCTGAGCCTTCTATGGATTCCTTCTAGATTTTAGGAAATGCCCAGAAGCTAGGAGGCTTGGACCAGGTAGGGGAGTCTCATGAACCTCCTCATTAGGGAGGAGGATGAGGAAGACAGAGGCAGACAGACAGCTCTCTCTTGGTGCTGCACCTGTGGTCCCGTAGGTGGTCTTGCCTCCGGAAGGCTTTGTGGCAGATGTCACAGGTGTAGGGCCGCTCGTCGGTGTGCGTCCGCTCATGGATAAGTAGGTTGTAGGACTTAGTGAAGTGGCGGCCACAGAACTTGCAGACAAACTCTTTCTTGGTCTTGGAAGGCAGACGTCCCCTCGTGGGCTTCTTTTCTGGGGATAGCTTGGTCACATCCAGGAGGGCACCCAGCCCACCAGCAGGGGAGCCAGGACCCTCCCCCCGGCCAAGCTTGGATGGATCTTCTTGCGTGGCGGCCAAGGCCAAGTTGGCAAAATCAAAGCGCGGCTTGGTCTTGAGCGCCGAGGGGCCGCTGCCTCCTGCAGTGATCTCTGGCTTGGGCTGGATGACGTGAGGGAACCAGGGAAAGGCAGGAAGCTGGAAGCGCGCATCCACCAGGCTGGACACTGCACCGGGCACTTTGGAGAAAGAAGAGCGTGGCAAATGCATGGCGGGGTAGCCCAGCGTCCACTGGTGCAGGTGCACAGCGTGCAGCGCACTGAAACCATACAGGTTGGGCAGGTGGTCCGAGGGCACTGTGGGCAGGCCATTCACTGCCTGAAGGAAGGAATAGTTGGTGAGCTGAAGGGATGGATGTATGGGCACTGGCGCTGGCAAGGTTTTGCTGCCCATTTTGGTAGTTGCAGTGGGTTCTCAGTCTCGATCTGCACAGAAAAGAAAGGAACCGGGAGAGGAAAAGAGAAATTCAGAGCAGGTATCCTCCTCCTGAATTCCAGCCCAGCCACACCCTCTATTTCCCCCTGGGCAGGAGCTGGGAGTCTAAGACCCTACCCCTGGAACCCACTGCCCTCAGAGAAAAGACTGGAACCCTCTCTGATCCGAGGGTTCCCTCCAAGTGGCCTCTGGCAGAGACACACAACTTGATACAGAAATCATCAGGAAACTAAATCCTGTGCAATGCAACCAATTTAAAATGAGGGCCTATGGTGCGCAGGACACTGAGAAAGGCAGAGGCGCAGGGGAAGTGGTGTGTAGAAACCTACATCCTCCCAAGCCAGAGTCCACACCGAATTACACTCTCCTGAAAAGACAACAAGAACTCGTATGCACACTTGCACATTCATGTGCAGATAAACACAGAAATACACACTGACAGAGAAACACAGATTCCCACATTCTGAAGTGGAGTTGATAACAAAGTGCAAAGATAAACTGGGATGACCAGTGTTGTGCTCCAAAACAAAATACAGGGACCAGCGTGTGCACGCGTGCCCACACACACACAGTTGGGATCACACAGCACCCACGGAGAGCCTCACAGACAGACTACACACATACAAATGACACAAATCCACACGTCTCCTGGCTCCTGCGCATTAAGCTCTACTAGCTGACCTTCAATTTGGCTTCTAGAAGCTGTGTCATCTTTCTCCTCAAAAGTCTCAAATTTGCTTTTCTGCCTCACTATTAATGCACCTTTTGACATCACCCTGTGCAGCTGCTTGTGGACTGACTCCCTACCAGCATTCTTGGGGATCACCTTCGTTTCAGCGAGGACACCTGCAGTTGCATGCAAGGGAGCTTCAGTGCTGCCCCACTCCCCGCATAGGAACGGGGCAGGGTCTCTGGGCTCTCAGGATGTTTGTGAGTGAGGAAAGCCTGAGAAGGGGGGTGTGCCTATGGGCAAGAGCACTGAGCCATGGGCCTCAGCCGCTTTGGTCTGTGCACCCTCCAACTGCAAGGGAAGCCATGCTGAAGTGACTAGCAGGCTGGTATCTGCTGGCCTCCTTGGGCAAGGTCTCCAGTCTCCCCAGTCTCCTTGGATGGGTCTGGGCTCTGCTGAGAGGCCTTTCATCTCTGCCCCTCCCAGACACTCAGGTCTGTCCAGTGGAGGAACAAAAAGGGAGCAGGAAAGCCGAAAGTACACAGTGGGCCTTGGGCAGCTCAAGTTCCCTACTCCCTCCCGCTCTGAGCTGAGGGCTACTCAAGAAGTCCTTGCAGGAGCAGGGGCCTTGGGGGGCTCTTCTCCCTTGCTCTTCTCAATCCTCTGTTACCGCTTCTTCCTTTTCCCCTCATTCCTCTCCTCTTCCTCAGATCTCTCCTCTAACCTGCGGTAAGTCCCTGTCCCTGGGCTGGGCAGGCCCCTGCTCTGCTCCCTCCTTCAATGCGCACACGGACACCTAAGCAGGATGTTTCTCCAGCCTAGCTTACCCTAAGCCCAAGCCTGCAAGGCTCAGGCCTAGACTCCGATGCCTCCACCACAGCAAAGCTTCTAATGGCGGGGAAGTGTGGCCCATGTCCTGGAAAGGAGTGAGGACAATCTGGACCCAGAAATCCTTTTCCCTGAATGCTGGCAGGAAGGTCACTTGCTGTGTAGGGGGCCATAAGGAAAGAAGCTCTGCTGGGGGTGGGGGATGCAAACCGCCAAGAGCCAGCAGAGATTTGCATGCGCAGGTTAAATTAGCAATCGAAGGAAAACCGAGTCGGACCGCAGCAATTAATTCCGCCTCGGGGCTCAAGGTGGTACAAATCTGTAGCGATCGCGCCGCTGGAGCAGCAGCACGGGCCCTGCCAGCAGAGCCATGGCCTCTGCAGCGGTCTTCTCTACTGCTTGCATTACGGGTCCTGCCGGGGACGAACGCAGACCTTCCTAGAGCCCTGAGACACGGCGAAGCAAAATACGGATTGGGCCAGAGAGAAAGCAGGCACTGGTTTGGGTTGGGGAGGAGAGAGAGGGGAGAAAGAAGAGAAGATTGCCAACTTCAAAGGTCGGCCCAGACTTAGGCGAGGTGAGCGCTCTTTGATTTGCTGTCACCTCTTCTTCCCCTCCGGGAGCTGGAAATCAGATCCTTATCTCCGGCTCCCCGGGGCCAGCCGGGCGCCGCCGGGGCCTCTGCTTGTTCCTGTCGGTGCTCGGCCAATCCCCGGCCAAGCGAGCGGTGCTGGCGGCGGGATTTCGGGCTGCACACAGGCTGGAGCCCGCTCGGTGCCCGGGTGGGAGAACCCACCAACCACGCATACTAACCTGGCCTTTCTTCGCCTACCCCCAGGAGCGGAGAAGACTTTAGGCTCGGCGTGGGGAGGGGGTGCCTGCAGCCATCACTGCTCTTAGGAGCCTGCCTTTCCGGGCTATCTGCCCGATCTTGTTTCCCCCAACACTCAATTTATTTTCCTCAGCGGCGCACTCACTTTCTTATTTTCTGCCGCATTCCGAGGCCAGGGCTCCCCACGCTCTAGCCAACGACTTTCCCGGGGACGAAATTCGTTCGAAACGTGGTTCTTTACATTAGTACCAAGAATGGGCCGAATGCATGATCCGCTTTTAGGCAGTCAGCTAAGAGAAAAACACAGCTTCACACTCGCCTCTCCAGCCGGAGAGGATGAGCGAACGCCCAACCCCGCGGGTCCGCTTGCCCTGACCCCGGACCCCCAGCGAGAACGCTTTAGATCTTTAAACAAGAGAGGGAACACCTCTCCCCAGGGCAGGCATCCGCTCGGCAAGGAACGTGGGCCTCGGGACCTGGGAGGTGCGGGTAAGGGTCCCGACTACGCTCAGAAGATGCAATTAGCGCTTAGAAGCCGGGATCCCTGCGAGGTGCCTGGACTGCTTCCCTCGCGCAGTGGAGCGCCAATCCCCGGTCTGCCGCCAGCCCTATGCCGGGCATTAATGAAGTGTGCAGAGTCTATTAAAGTGGTTTATTCGGGGCTAATTGAGCGTGAGCGAGTTAACTGCTTGCATTAATGAGGACGGAGTGAGCTCCCCAAGCTTGCGCCTGGAGGAGCCCATCAGCAGCCTCAGAAAATCATCCCTGACATCGAACACCCAATACGAGTGGTGACAGGAATCCGGACCCCCGGCAGAAGACTGACCAGCACTGAATACTTCTGCTGAATGCTCCCAACGAACGAGATCAACGAACCCTTCGGCTAGGCGGCCATCCCGTTACACTTAAACGCCCCCCGCGTCCTTAGCGATCTGCTCCCCAACCGTAGTGAAACCGCAATTACTTCGAGGAGCCTCGGAGAGAACATCTACCCACTAGCCGCCCCCGGTCCCTGCCAGCCCTTCTCTTCTCTAGGAGGCCGTGAACCTGGGAGACTAACTAGCTTCGCACGTGGTTTCTGTTCCCAAGAGCCAGCGCGCAGCTCTAAGCCCGGGTGAAATTTACCAAATTGTGGCAACAAAGAAACCCTGGCAGCCACTTTACACTCCGAGAGCCTACTTCGCTGCTGCCCGAGCTGCTGAAAAACGACTGGATGTGGGTTTTCATTCTTATCAGAGACATTTCGGGGAAGAAATTAGTTCAAAACGTAGCCCCTCACCTCTTGCTCTCTCTCCTCGGACTCCCACCTCTCCTGAAGTCTGGGTCAGGGGACAGTCACGGAAGCAAACGAATCTTTCCCTTCCAAGCCCCAAACCCAAAACGGAGACATCCGCAGTTCCATAGTGTTTCCGCTACTGCTACTCCAGCGTGCGGGTCTCAAATTGGAAAGCAGTGCTCGCGCCCCCAGCATGCTTCCCTGCACCCGGACCGTTGCGGACTACACTCCAGGCCTTGACCACACCAGAGCAATCACCCTATAGACAACAACCCGAAATCAGAACGCAAGTGCGAGGCGGGGTCAGGCAGGCGGCCCCGCGCTCACAGGTCGAGCCGGCTTCATACCTGAGCACAACTCCGCAAAAGACAAACTCACACGAAAGCGCGACCCGCGACCCGCTGGGGATGCACCTGTCCCTGGCGCGGTCTGCCGCCGCCGTGGCCATCCATCCACTCTCTCCTCCTTCTTCGTCAGCTAAGGGAGGTCAGGTTGAGCCAGGCGCGCGTCTCGGGAAAGTTTGTGCCCGATGAAGTTGCTCCGGTTTCTTAGAGGGGGCCCAGAGCCTGACTTCCGAAGTCCCCGGGCACCTCGCCCCGGATCCCAAGGAGCCCGGCCCCGCTAGAAGCAGCAGTGGAAGCCCGCCCCCTCATTCCCGGGAGGTCAGAGGCCGAGGACCCCGCGCGGGAAGTCCCTGAGCCAGCACCCCCAACCACCCGGGGCTGCAGCTGCTCTCACTTTCACAAAGGTCCCGCAGCCTTCGTTTGGCAAGAGGAGCTTCCTTTTGGGACATTGAGAGAGAGGAGGCACCCGCCGCGCTATGACAGGGAACCCGGGAGTCCTGCCCGCATTGCCCTCTCCGAGCCAGGCGCCCAGGGCTGCAGTTACCTTGTTCCGCGGTGGTCCCGGGGCTGAGTGCCTCTCTGGGGCTCCCGCTGCGGGGAACCCGGGAAGCCCGAGGCGCTGGATTCCACAGGCACCCCCCGGAGCTCGAGAGTCCGGGCCCCTCTCGGGCTGCGGGGACTCCAAGCGCCCGACACGCGGGAGCGCTCAGCGGCCGCGGAGTCCTGCCGGCCGGGGGATGGTGAGCCTCGTTCGCGGCTCCCTGGTTGGGTTTGAACGGGGAGCGGCTCAGAACGTGTTGGGGAGAGACTGAGCTCCGACTCACTCATCCCTTAGCACCGAGCCGCCTACTTATTTTAATCCACCACCCTCCCTCCCCCCTCTCCCCTCCCTCTCCCTCTCCTTGCCTCAGGATTCCTCCCCTCCCTCCCCTGCCCCCCAACACGGCCCTGCGCCTGCGCACTGAGAGAGAAAGTTTTGCTGACCCGGGCAGCCGACTTGGGCAGCTGTGCTAGCTTGGCCCGGGCCTCGCGGAACCTGCATACCCTGCTCTTCAGTCCCGTGCGACCCTTTTTGCGTTGTTAGGCCCACGACGGCACTCCTGCGCACTAGAGCAAACAGCCCCTAGCAGATGAGAACAGACTAACCGCGCGTTTCGAGGTCCTATTCCTGCGCGCCTAAGACACAGCCTGTGCCGGATGAGGGGGTTGCAGCGGCATACCCCCGCCACAGTCTTGGCAACAGCGCACTCCGTCCCTGGCAGAGTCGCCTCTTCTCCCAGAATCCCTTCCCAGAGACGGCGGGCCCTGGGTGCGGAGCCGCCCCTGGACGTGCTCAGCGCCAGGGCGGTAACCCAGACCGAATGCCCATGGCTGACCCCAGACCCTGGGTTATGGAGTTCCGTAGAAAGATCAGAAGGGAAGGAGGTCAAGAAAGATATTTGCCTAGGACCCAGAACCTTCTGGGATCCCACCCTAACACAGCCGCACCCTCTAATCACATATTCATTTATTTGGGGAGGATACATGGGAGTTTGGAGAGCTTGCGGCACAGGCACGCGAGACAAGCTGCAAAGTTCTTCAGGTGGAGTTTGGGATCTAAAAGCGGCCAGGGGTCCGGCTGTGAGAAATTCTGTCTTCACTGTTTACGACGCCTTAGGGAGAGTCCCAGTGCCCTCTTGACTGCTTTGCTCTAGGAGCTGACCTCCAGCTGACCCCAGCCCTGACCCCTCCCTTCCACCTCTCTGGAACACCCAGCCATGGAGTGGGGAGGATGGGCTGGTTTCCAGGCTCGGATAGGTCCAGATTCACAGGACTGCACTCCCGGAGTTTGCCCCAAGGGTGCTGCTGAGAGACCCCTCCAAGCCCTTGGGACCAGATCCCAGCCTCCTTGGGTCTCTAGCATGTTGGTACTGTCTCTCTGGGGAGGAGCTGCCACAACACCCAGCTTCTGTCTGCAAGTCGGATCTGACTTTTTAAGGTTATGGTTCCCTGACCTAGGGAAATGGTAGGGAAGCAGCCCCAAATGGCATAGTTGGGGGAGACCCTTGTCTTATCTCCAGGTCTTTAGAACAGAACCTGGCCTCTGGCCTTAGGTAACTTTGGCTTGGGCAGGGTGGAGGACGAGGGGGTAAAAGTTTTTGCCCCAGGGAACTGCACTCACCCCCCGCCACAGGTTAGTGCTGGAGGAAGTGACCCACATAAGTTTGCCTGTGCAGCTGCCAGTATGGGGCGACATTCTGGCCAAGACAAGGCCCCTTAGGAGCAGAAGGGAGCTGAGATCACTCCCTTCTCTGAGATTCCAAAGCAGCAAGTTCCAAGAGCAGGGGAAGGCCTGGAGGGAACGTCCAGCAGGGCATCCCTGGACTGCCCTCACGGCCACCTTAACCAGGGAGTTCGTGTGTACCAGTCTCAGGCTCTCCTGAGAGACAAATCTCCTCGAACCTCCGTTATCAACACTGAAGGAATCCAAGAGGCCTCTGCCACAGGGCATCTGGCCATCCAGACTGCTTGGGGGATGTCTCCTAAGAAAAGGAAGTTCAGGTGGGATGGAGCCTCCTGGGATGTACAAATCCCACCTCTTGCTGAGAACTCCACACAGCAAGCGCAACTGTGCTTCCTCCATCTTTCTCTTTGCCTTTTTCTTCTGAACCAGGGCCTTTGGCCAACGTGCCTGAAAGACTTCTAGAAAACTCCAAGTAGTAGGATCCCTCAAGAGCTCTTGGAAAGAGAATCTCTAGGGTCCTAAAGAAAGGACCATACAACTTGGTTGTTTAATGCCACTTTTGCCAGGTCTTCTGGAAAATGGATCTTGACCCAGGCCAACTTCTGGAACGTAGCTGGTGTGGGGCAAGATTAGGAAGCAAGGTTGGAGCTGGCCCCTGACGGCCCAGCGTCTCAGGCTTTGCCTCCCAGAGGAGTCCTGGCTGCCTCCCTTGCAGGGTCGCATGGGACAAGGTGAGGGGGATGCAGGGCTATGGCATTACACAGCCTAGACAAAGTAGGCCTGTTTCAAACACCTGGCTTCCACCACTGAGGCTTCTTCTAGGTACCTGACAAAGCACAACCCCAGAAAGCTGGGATAACAAAATCCAAGATTTGCTAATTGCTGACGATTCCTCCATCCCAGTCGGAGATCCCAAGGGGATGACCTCTAAACCGTGGCCTCGCTCTCCACTGGAGGCCAACCAGAGTCATGGTTCCCTCTGGGCAGCACGGGCAGGAAGAAGCCCGCCCGGGAAGCCAGGAACCCCTCTGCCGCTCTGTGCAAGGGGGAGCGATGGAGGCATCCCCTCCCCCCCGCCTACTTAAGGTGAAACTGATGCCGGCCTAGGTCGCAGCACCGCGCCGGGACTGCAGCTCGGATGGACTGAGGAGGGCAGGACCCAGGACACCTAAGGGCTACCAGGATACTTTTTAACAAAGTCCGATTCGTTTAGGACTCGCAAGGACGTCTCATTTCGAATTTGTTAAACGTCCTGGGTAGCCTACGGCCCTTGGAGCCCAGCGAAGGTGGCCAAACTCCTGTGTGGACGCCCATCTGATTCCTGGCGGTCCAGCGCACTCCGTCCGCCACCCGAGGCTGCATTCTCTGCTCGCTTTAAGCCCGTGAACTCCAGCCGGCAGCCAGACCCGGCGCAAACTCCGCCGCTGCTCCTTCTGGCTTTCCCGCCCGCTGCCTGAGGGGCGGAACCGCGGGCGCCCAAGGGGTCCCAACTTCGACTGGGACCTAGCAGCCTTGGGGAAAGGTCCCCCGAGTAGCGACCAGGCCTCCAGGTCCGAGTTACTCCCCGCCAGCGCCGGTAGGGTCTCGCAGAGAGCGATCGCCCCGGCGGCCTGAGCCTCAGGGTCGTTGGCCGCACTGCATCCAGTGCCGCAGCTAGCCCTCGCCGCCGCCGTTTGCTGGGCACGCTTCGGGTGGTGACAGCTTCTGCCGGTCTCCGCGCCCCAACCCCAGCCCCTCTCCCGCCTCCTGCTCACTGAGAAGGAAAGTGCCCCAGCCTGGCTTCGGAGTGAAAATTGAGCAGCTTCCAGAAAATTAACTAGAACGTGGCCTATATTGCTTTGGGGTGTTTTGGATAAAAAATGAACCCCACCTTTCTCCACTCACCAGCCACACAAAAATGACCTCATTTTTAAAAACTAGAATTTACTTAGCGCTTGCGTGTTTTTGCTTCCAGAGCAAGGTATCCTGCAACTACTTTGCGGACAATTGGGGGTCTTCTCATTAGACCCCCTCCCCCCTTTACGCACGTACAGAGCTTTCAAATAACCAGGAGATTTAGGTATCCCTCTGTATTCATTTAGATGATGGATTGTAATGGCTCAATAGTTCCTCTGGAACCATTACGATCAATCAGGTCAAAAACCAGCTTTGGGGGAAGTTTTTAAGCATGGGAGGTAGGTAACACGACATCTACACACAGTTGTGCAGATAACACGCTCTGATAACGTACAGACAACTCCAGGGTCTTCGGAGAATAGACCCCAGGTGAACGCAAGAGCGAGTGTTTATTGTGACAGCGACAGACAAGTTACAGTACCAAAACTGAAAGGGAAAGTGAACTGTTTTTCCAGGCAGTTCCCGTTTGGTAAGTTCTTTACGAGCACATAAGTATCTTGTAACTATTTGTCACCTTAATAAATGTAACAATACACACACGCATAGATCTACCCTCGGTTCTTGAGAAGAATGTATAGGAAGCACGAATATGCATGTGGAAGTGCATGAACTCTGGGCACACTGTCATGAGTAAAATGTAATGATGATAATGCCTTGTGTTGTGAGGATCAAATGTTAAATGTGTGTAAAAGGCGTGGTGAGTTTTACTTTTTGTATAAATATGAGCTGTCAGAATGATTTTCGACACAAAACAGACCTATGTTCTAAGATGACTGAACTTTTCCTTTTCGCAAAGATGGAAATAAATGTATCAGAAACGATGCAGTGTCTAATCAAACTGAGGATGATGAAGAAAAGTTATTTTCACTGAATTATATACAGTCAGGGTGAAACCCTACGCATAGAACCACCTTACCACACACCCCCGCGGCGCTACGTCCTCGAAGGGCTACATCGGCGGCGTTTGGCGCTGGAGGAATGAGCGTTCGCAGTAATTAAACACTTCCAGACACTCGAGGGTTATTATCTGCATAGAAATTTCCGGCGAGGGGACCCGGAGCAAGTCTGGCTGCAATGTTTTGTGGAGAGATTCAGAGACGCAATCCTAAAGAAAACGCGCCACCTGCTGGTGAGCAAGTGACATCTCCCGTTGCCCCTTCCTCGAAAAGTCTCAAATCCAATTATCCCTATTCAGTCTTATCTAAAAGTAGGGTTTTTGATTTACATTTTCTTTTCTAAAATCTTCTTTTCTTTTCTTAAAATTTTCTAAGTTACGAAATTCTCCTTTACTCGTTTAAAACTACGCACACTCTTTCCCTTCCAAACAGAAAACAAAAGAGGAATTCCCTTTCACTACGGGGTTTCTGTTTTTCCTGCTCCAAACCAGATTTGTGAGTTTGGTTTTTAAAAAATA